GTATCTAGTTGAAGACATTACCCTTAAAAATTGAAAAAAATTCCCTCGTTCCCCGCAAATGGGGGAAATATCCAAAAAAATTACAAATTTAAAAATCGCTAATTTTCGAAATTTTTTCACTTTTTTTTCTAAAAATTTCCACAACTTTTTGAAAAATCAACAAATCAACATAGTTTTTTTTTATACTAAAACCTTAGATATCTACGTTTCATTTGATATCATTTTTTTGAAAATCTATCACTTAACCTGCTCATTGGGGGGAATTTATAATAGTAACTTTTTTACAAAAATTCACTTTTTCAACTTAATTATTGAAAATGTTCCGGAAATACTGCGTCCTTTAAACATATATCAAATTAAAGCTTATTTAAATAACTATAAAATGAAAAAAAAAAATTTGTCCCGACGACCTATCTTCTATACGCAAATGGCTGCCGTAGTTAAAAAAACACTATTTTTGTGTTAAAATTTTCGATTTTCGATTTTAAATTTTCAACTTAAAAATGCTATAACTTTTTGAAAAATGTATATATCAGCACAAATTTTTTTTTCTAAATACATTATAAGTACATCTTTCATTTGACATACTTTTTATTAANAATTTTTTTTTATACTAAAACCTTAGATATTTACCTTTCATTTGATATCATTTTTTTGAAAATCTATCACTTAACCTGCTCATTGGGGGGGATTTAAAATGGCAACTTTTTTACAAAAATTAATTTTTTCAACTTAATTTTTGAAAATGTTCCGGAAAGACTGCGTCCTTTAAACATATATCAAATTAAAGCTTATTTTATGTACTACAAAATGAAAAAAAAAAATTTGTCCCGACACTTTTTTTTCTACATTTAAACGGCTGCCGTAGTTAAAAAAACACTATTTTTGTGTTAAAATTTTCGATTTTCGATTTTAAATTTTCAACTTAAAAATGCTATAACTTTTTGAAAAATGTATATATCAGCACAAATTTTTTTTTTCTAAATACATTATAAGTACATCTTTCATTTGACATACTTTTTATTAAAATTGGACAATTTCCCCTTATATAGGGGGCGTTCAAAACTTAAAATATTGTAAAAAACATAGATCTTTTTCAACTGAACTTTTGAAAATGTTCCGGAAATACTGCGTCCTTTAAACATATATCAAATCAAAGGTTATGTTATATACTATCAAATGAAAAAAAAAAATTTGTCCCGACATCTTATCTTCTATGTGCAAATGGCTGTCGAAAATTTAAAAAAAAATGTAATGTTTGCGATAAAAATTACCTTTTATCGGGATGTTTTTTGTACTTAAAACTGCCATAACTTTTTCAAAAATGAACAAATAAAAATAATATTTTTTTGTATTGAAACCTTAGATATTTCCCTTTCATTTGATATAATTTTTTTTGAAAATCTACCACTTATTCTGTTCACTGGGGGGATTTAAAATAGTAACTTTTTTATAAACAATAACTTTTTCAACTTAATTTTTGAAAATGTTCCGGAAATACTGCGTCCTTTAAACATATATAAAATTAAAGCTTATTTTATGTACTACAAAATGAAAAAAAAAATTTGTCCCGACGACCTATCTTCTATACGCAAATGACTGCCGTATTCAAAAATATGCTATTTTTGTATTAAAATTATGGGTTTTGTATTTTATTTTAATAGAAGTTGATGTTGATTTTGCAATTATCCATCAACTTTTTTAAAATTAAATACTATCTACAGATTTGCATCGAAGCGTTTCTTATTATAGTGATTTTAATCACTGTCAGATTAAATCTATACTGGATCCAACTATGCAATGTCTCCACTATGCCGTGACCCCACTGTGCTACCGTTTTTTTTTTTAAATTATTGAAGATTTTTAATATATATATATTCATAAAGGAAAAAATAAAAGAAAAAGAAAAAGAGCGGTGCTAGATACAAAAATTAAAAAGGGGGTTTCATGTTGATACTTGTGGCGGCCGAATGTTCTAGAACGTTCGACCGCCGCCGCCTCTAGAAGATTCTTCGGCGGTCGATTGTTCTGGAACATTCTACCGCCTATATAAGAAGTGGGACCGTTGCTCCTAGTTATCAATCATCAAACCACAGTGTCCAGTGATCAGTCATCAGTTATCATTTTCATAAATTGTTCATTTTGTTCGTTGTTCATTGTTTATAGTTAATCAGTTTAAATTATTATTTGTTATACTGTAAATTTACTGTTGTAATAAATCATATTTCCCACAATTGGTGACCTCGACGTGATCTGAAGAAACGCTCAACACCCGGATTCTGAAGCCACTATCAAAATGGAAAACGTCAACACCAACGCCGTCGCCAACGCCAACGTGAACGCAATAGGTGTCCGCATCCCGCCATTCAACCCAGAGGACCCTACATTGTGGTTTGCCGTCGTGGAGCGAAGCTTCGGGGTATCCAAGATCGTCCAAGAGGATACCAAATTCGGCTACATCATCGGTGCACTCGACCAAAAATACCAAACCGAGGTCCGCGACATCATTCTCAACCCGCCAGCAGCCGAGCCTTACACACATCTGAAAAAAGAGCTGATCAAACGGCTGAGCACCTCTCAGGAACGGAAAACACTACAGCTGTTGGAGAAGGAAACTCTGGGCGATCGCAAGCCCTCACAATTTTTAAGGTATTTAAGTGACCTTGCAGGTACATCTGTTCCGGACTCGATGCTGAAGACCATCTGGATCAGCCGACTTCCACAAGCGATGCAGGTGGCCCTGGCTGCTCAGAGGGACGCCGAGCTAGAAAAATTGTCGGAGCTGGCCGATGTGATAGCTGACGCGACTCTCCCTCATCCGCAAATCGCTGAGGCCGTCAGCTTAGCCAGCATTAACGCACAAATCGACGCGTTGCTCAACGTTAAAATGGCCCAGCTGACGTTCACTCTGCGGGAAGAAATATCAGCACTCGCCCAACGCAACACTCCTCGCAGAGGTCGGAACCGATCCTTTCATCGCGGCCAGTCACGCTCACGCTCGTCATCCCGTTCCCACTCTTCACGTCAATCCGAGAAGGAATACTGCTGGTACCATCACACATATGGAAGGGAAGCGAAGAAATGCAGCCAACCTTGCCAATTCAACCAGGGAAACGAGAAGGGCAGTCATTAAACGCGGCAACAGATGACAAGAGCCCGAAAACAAGCCGCCTCTTCATAACCGACACCAACTCCCAACTCCGATTCTTGATCGACACAGGTGCTGACGTATGTGTTTTTCCTCGCTCACGCACTGCAACTCGCACCCTTCGATCTTCATACACACTCAGCGCTGCAAACGGCTCAGACATCGCCACCTACGGAGGAATCAACCTAACCTTGAACCTCGGTCTACGGCGAGAATTTCCCTGGCGCTTCATCATCGCAGATGTGTCGAAACCTATACTCGGGGCGGACTTTCTACAACATTATGGACTCCTTGTTGACCTGCGACACCGGCGCCTTGTCGACCCAAACACCACGATTTCCTCACCAGGCACGCCTGCGGCTGAATGTGAGGTGCCACAAATCAAGGTGCTCAACGGCGAGTCGCGTTACCACCAGTTACTAAAAAAATACCCTGGTCTGACGCGACCTAGCGGCCTGCCAACCGAGGTGAAGCACAACACGGTCCATCACATTCGCACCACTCCAGGGCAGCCTGTTTCATGCAAACCCAGGCGACTTGCACCAAATAAGTACGCCATCGCCAAGAAGGAGTTCGAGACCATGGTGAAGATGGGTGTTGCTCGACCTTCCGACAGCAGCTGGTCCTCGGCGCTTCACCTAGCGCACAAAAGGGACGACGAATGGCGACCCTGTGGCGACTACAGGTCTTTGAACGCACGGACCATTCCAGACCGGTATCCAATTCCGCACATCGAAGATTTCTCCCAACGGCTCGCGC